GGTAAATGGCCTTCAGTGTTCAGGCTACCATAAAGAGCCTTTCTTGTGCTTGCCTGCCCTTCTCTCTCTCTGTCTCTCTCTCTCTGTTTCTCTATCTCTCTTGCTCTCCTGCCCTCAGATATAGACTGCGCTCCAGCCATGCTATTGGGCAGCGAGCTGTAAACAGGAGCTGTACACTGATCCAAGTGGCAATCACCTTCATTCGCCCCCCCACCCCCTCCTGCCCCCTTTCCCTTCCTTCACCCAGCTTTTTTTTGTTTTTGTTTTTGTTTTGTTGTGTTTCGTCGGCATGCTGAAACCTTCACCACAAAAAGATGATGAAAAATCTTGTTGGAATGACTCCCTGTGTGGAGGATGGATCGCTGGGTATGTCCCTTGCTCATCGGGAGCATGACACACAGGCCCTTTATGTGGCTGTGTGGAGGGTGGCCCCCTTCCCTCCTCTGCTTCTCATCCACACCCCAGAGGCTCCCATTCAGCCCGGGCCTGGCTGGGGGGAAGTTGGAGCTCTTTTGTCGTGGGGGATTCTTAGGGGAGGCTGTCAAGGCTGCAACTGTGTGGACCTTTATTTCCCCAGAGAAGAGGAGGGGGGAGAAACGATAGAGAGAGAGAGGGCAAGAGGGAGATGAGGAGGGGGGTTCCAAAGGAGAGTTTGGACACAGACGGCCTTGTTAACAGGCACCCCCAAAGAGGGAGAGGATGAGAGGGAGAAAGCAAAGTAACAGCGAGAATGAATGAAAGCCAAAAACCTTCCCTCTGTTACGTCACCGCTGTTATTCCCGTCCTCCTTCTCCTCCTCCTCTTTTCCTCCACTCCTCCCTATCCGCTCCCTCCATTTGTCCCTATGTAAGCTAACTCTTCAGCTCAATAACAAGCTTTTGCCCTCCCCGTCACCCTTCCTCGCCCCATTCTCACCCTCCGCCATTACTTTACACACATTCCATTATCTGGGAGACCAGGCTAAGAGAGATGTCTGGGGTCGGAGCGATCATTATCATCACCTCTCTCGCCGCAACACTCTGAGTTATAGCCCACCGTATGGGAAACAGACATTTAAATCATAATCAATAGAGCAATATCAATGCTGAGAGGCATGGCTAAAGGAAATCACTGCCGCGGCTCAGGAGGAAACGGAGACGCTCAGTTTAGACTGAGATAGTGGTGCTCGCTTATTGATAAAATATGATCAAGCCGCAAAATGCATTATGTGGCATCACGCTCGGCGCTGCCTTTTCCCTGAAAAATAAACTCACTTTCGCTGATATGACGGTGATGCAACGATTCTGGCTGGTGTGTGAATATGTGTGGAATTGGGAAGGTGTTGGATTCGAGCGGTGATCTCCCGGTCTCTGCTGCTCGTGTATTGCACGTTGGCTGAAGCTTAAACACGGCAGAGAGGGGGACGCTGTCATGCTGTATGCATTAACTGACCCTCTGGTCATGTTAAGAATGACAAGGGCGGGCTCAGTTCCTCGTAGGGAGAGCCGCACTGCAGACACACAATGTTTTGTCCGGCAATGGGCGATGCAAGGTGACAGGTGCGACCTGACCATGGCTGCGACCGGACCACGGCCGCCGCTGCCACTCCGACTGAGATCAGGACTGAATCTCTGACTCTGTGCTGCCACAACAAGAAAATACCAGGTCTTCATACAGCAACAGTGCACCGCATCACTGTCAAGGACGGGCCGCTCTGAGACACCATGCAAAAACACATCATGTAATCAGTCAGGACAAATTACAGTTCAGAGTGCAGAGAAAGAGCACAGGATCACTGTTATTAACTCATGCAGTTTGTTTGCTGTGAATAAGGAACTCTCTTGCAAGTTTCACATCATATCCAGGTGACGTGTAGATAGGTTGGATTCCATTTTGGAGTATCTTTGTTTCAAGCGTCGAGACAATTTGAGATGTTATTGGTTGGCATGACTGTTTGCAACTTATACAAACGGTTTTCTCAAATGTGTTTTGGATTTGACAAACATGATTCAAGGCGGTTTGACTAACAGATAAGTTGTGGGATTTCTTCTCTCCAGCGTAGTTCAGTACCATAGAACGACATTGGTGTTGCACCTGAAGGTGCAAGGATTGGGCTTTGCCGCAGTTATTGAGACAAAATTGAAAAAAAATAAACATCCGTTACAGAACAAGCAACAGCCACAATAATGTCGCGGAGAAAATTGAATTAGCACAAATTGATTTACATGCACGTCACTTTCAAAGTATCAGAACAACTAGAACTATTTACTATTTAATGATTATTTTATGTTGGTTGAATTAACTTGACTGGGACACTGTGATTGTGTTTACTGTTTGTGCCAAAGTTAATTGGTCAGATCATTTAGAAGAGAATTTGCATATCGATTTGAGTTCAGGCCGCAAACAAAGATGGATATAATGTGATTACAGTTCATAATTAAATGCTTATTGTAAAGCGGCACCTAGTGTGTATTAAAACTCTCAATTGAATGTCAGGTTGAGTAGCGAAGTCAAGCACATAGTCAGCCTGACCACATAGTTCAGAAGCACTGAGCTGCAGCCCAGAATCCCAAGGTCCTGTGTAGGAGGGAGCTGTGAGCAGATAGTGCACTGCACATCATGGTTCACGTGTGGCCAAAGCCCACGCAGTGCTGATGAGACGGGGATCATCTGCTAGATCTGGAAATCTATAACCCAATCCCTGGTGAGTGAGGAGGTTTGGAAATTTAGATAACTCAATCCAGAGAAAAAGGGAATATATAGCTTGATATGTGACATTATTGAAATGGTCAGTTATTGTACCTTATTCTAGCAAAGAAGACTGAAAGTCCCAAGGTCATGCAGGAAACTAAAAAGACCAAACACCTCGGAGCACAAGCGTAAAGTCAACGGTCTGCTATACATGTAAAAATAGAAATAACCATGCATGAAAACAATTACTTTGCTATCTTAATTGCTTTCCAAAGAAAATACTTTCTGTCACCTTTCCAATTAAAACATAACCAGCAGCCATATTTGATGTATTTTAAAATGGTGCCTGCAGCATGTCTTGTTGTCTAAGATATTGGACTCCACCTCTACATTTTAATGACCAGTTTCATTTATAGATGCAGAGGAACCAACACTGCTCAACAAAACAAAACAAAAAAATCACAAAAAAACTGGAACATTGAGCAGTGCTTTATTCTGCCAGCTGGGGATCCAGCTCCAATGATGTACATGTTGTCACTCAGTGATGCCTCGTATTACAATGCCAAACGGAAAACGTTTTTGCTATATATTTTCAATTAGAATAACAGTTGCAGAAAATCCGTTTTTCATGCCGGTCTCCTGACATTTCTCAACCCATCTGACATACCCTTGGTGAAGTGTGAACCAATTCGCAAATGAGGGTTATTCTGGGAGAGTCACGTCTCCACGGCACCCGGGAGAGGGTTGTAAAAGCTGTTGTCCTTTTAGTTATGAGTATGACGCAAGGAGGAGCCGCAAGAGAAAAAGAAAAGCATTTCAATTGGAGTCCTCCTTTCTCCTCTCTCCCTCTTCCTCTGTCTGCGTCTCTGTTCCCCCGCCTGTCTCTTTCACTCTCTCTCTGCATGTGCCCTGCTGCTCTGTCATCCTCAGGGATGCGTCTGAAGGAGACCATCTGTTGATCCATTTGTCTCCTGCTTTGCTTACTGTGCCACCGCCTCTCTCCTATCGATGATCAGGCCTGGCCTTTTCCCTGCCCACCCTCTTGGTTGCTGCCAACAGGCACTCGGGGCGAGGCGGGTGTCCTGTTAGGGGTGGGGCAGGAGGCTGTGCCCTGCGTAGTCTCTGATTCACACAAAGAGACAAAACAGGGGACTGGCGGACATGCATCCTTTTTGTACATACATGAGACCAGAGCAGCTGCTAATCTAATCGGTGTTTATCTAAAGTGAGCATGGCGGTGCTGACCTGAGTCAAAAAAAACAAAGATTTATTTATTTATTTTTACATTGTTGATATCCAAAGTATTCCTTTTTGCCCCCTTAGGACTTGAACACAGAGAGCTTATCATTATATGAGGCATCGACCATGAAATAGATGTTAGAAACAATCGTGTGATACCAACACAGTTATTGCTGTTGACGTGCTGCCACTGCACGGCAGATTTCAAACCATATATAGGTCTCGGGTTTCCACGCACGTCTCCTAGCTGTCAGCTCGTATGCATGTTCAAGGGTTTGATGGACACTGAGTCCACCGTGGGGACTTCAGGGATTGCTTGCCTTTGATCTTCTCCCACGACTCTCGATTACCCATCATTCAGCAGGGCTTAGGCCCTGGAGAGCAGCTGGGAGAGGGTGGTGTGTTAACATGAGCTATGATGTACCCAAGAGAGACGCACTGTTCAACTCAAGACATCATATGGCAAATTACACAGACACGGAGGGAAAAAGTGCGCGGATAGTGCCTGTTGTGAATGTTTGGACTGGAAGTATGTGGGACTTCAGAGCGTGAGAGACAATTGAAATATGTCAGAGCAAGGTGGTATCTCTGATGGGATATATAATGAGGTTGCAGTCCATATGGAGGGTTTTTGCAGCATCAAAATGATTGTAAATCTTGTTATTATCTTGGTTGTGGAATTTTCATAGATTCCTAAGGTTTTCATCAGGACTGCTCAATACATCCGATGATGGGTGCTCACCCGGGGAGACATGCCATTGATTTCCCATAAGGTGCAGATGACATGTGGTTTGACCAACAGCCGTGTCATCCAATAAGTCATGGTTTCAGCGCCGCTGTCACCCGGTTTGATTGTTCTTCTGAAAACATTTGGGGTGGGGCTAGTCCCTGCAGAAAACCTTTTATGCTGCAGGTGCGCATGCAAAATAATTATCTGTGGCCTATTGCACGTGCAAGTTGCAGAACACCTACTTTTTATTTTTGGTCAAGTGCATATATTGGTATAAAATGTGATTTTTTTGTTCTTCTTCTAATTAGTCTAGCTGTCTCTGGGTGACTTTTTAATCTCTTATTGTCTGTGTGTGTTGCAGGCTTCCTCAGTACTGGTGACCAGGCTGCTAAAGGGAACTACGGGCTCCTGGACCAGATCCAGGCTTTAAGGTGGATTAGCGAGAATATCGGCTTCTTCGGAGGAGACTCCAACCGCATCACTGTGTTCGGTTCTGGCATTGGAGCTTCCTGCGTCAGCCTGCTCACCCTCTCCCACCACTCTGAAGGTACAGTAGAGCCAGAATGAGTTGGGTGGGTGATACAGCTGTGGAGCTCATGCCTGCTGGTGTGTAGGCTGCTTGATTTCAGGAACTGGTGATGCAGCTAGAGAGTTATTGACTAATGTATTCTACTGTACTGCACAGCATAAAGAATGCTTTAGGAGCAGGTGTTTGCATTTAAATTATTGTGATGTTCATTACCATCCGGAAATTGAAACTGCACGGCAGATTTCAAACCACATATGGGTCTTGATGTACTCTGCTGGTTTCCTCGTATCCCTCTCTGTCAGAAATATACATGTAGCTATAATGTGTCTTTGTAAGCAAGATAAAAGAAAGGGACATGGTGTACTAGGGAGAGCTTTTTAGTGTCATTCTAAATAACACACCGTCTCTTTGTCAACAATGTTGTTTATCTGCTGGCTACCTTAGTGCTCCTTCGTGATGATTAACTGCCCTTATGTCTTAAATACTGAATGCAGCATGCACAGTGAACCCGGACATGCGATAAACATTCGTCATACTCATTCTCCTCTAATGCGTCATTGAATTACTCCTTATTGGTACGTTCTTACAGGGAGTGCTTTGGCTCAGGAGCTGGTCCTTTGAGCTCCGTCCATGAATTGCAGCCTGCAGAGCCAAATCAACACAGCATCATCCTGAACCTGAAATTATTACCGTCAGTCACGTATTCGTCCGTACGTTTAAAAAGCTGGCTTGTTTGTTTAGCATTTAATTGATAGCGGTGTTGTTTACAATGTACATGACAGGCTATTAGGATATTGAGGTGTTGGTGTGTATAGCAATGTTTATGTTCTTCTACTTTGTTGATGTGGTGGTAATATTCCAAATGGAAAATCTTTACACTCAACCACACTCACGAAGGCTGCTTGTGAACATGTTAACAAGCCACAAACATGCTGCTTTGGACATGCATGATTGGAAATGTAACACGGAGCTTTTACTCTACATCACATATAAGTGAATTGCATTAAAGAAATCACTCTTGCATGAGATAAAGGATTGGTCTAAGGCGGTACTGTGGTCAGGAAGCTATTAAGTGGCACACTCCCAAACACCACACACTAATGCCTAATTTATACTTCTGCGGAAAAGCTTGTGCAGAGAGGGTTTGTGGAGCTGGCAGAGAGCCGCACCTCCTGAAAAATGTGACTTTCGCAACATGCACCGCGGACATCAGAGCCGGGAGATGGGTTTTCCTGATAAGTACCTCACATCCTGTTACAACAACGACCTCCTTTATTAATTCTAGGCCCAGGAGCCCCTCCTCATCATCCAACTCTTCCATCAATTTATTTATATGGAACTATTGTATCACGCCAAAGGAATACTTTAAATGAAAGACCGCCTGACAAAGGATTTGAAATTGTAAAAAAATGACATGCTACACGCAATCCACCGCAGTATGTATGCCTGCCGTGCGTGAGAGGTATAAATCAGGCATTGCACACATCCACTCACATTTAATTTTCTTGTCACTAGGCAGAGTAGATGCTGTGATCTTGGATTTTTGATTAGTCGGCCCACGTGCATTTGAAAGAGGTCATTTGAGCTGCTCTTCTTCGGTCCCTAATACAGTGCCAGGGATTTGTGATCTGTTTTGCATTCTCCAATTTGCATTAAAGTGTTACTAATTGCCTTGATTTCCTCCGATGAATGATGACTGCTTTTCGATTGAATTTTTACCATAAATGCCTTTTTTATTCATACTCCATAATGTTACGCTCCATGTAGCATGTTATTATACTGCCAGTGAAACCATATCCTCCGCCTCCCAGTAAATTGGATATTACCGGGTCTGTTTTTTTCCCGTGAATGGAAATGTATGCCCCGCTGATGGGATAAAAAAAAATAAAAAAAAGCCACTAAAACTTGAGGGATTCTAGCAAATTGAAACAGGAAGCCTTCTATCACGACGGGACTCTTGCTGCGAATGTTACCAATGGCAATCGGATTTCACACAGTCTCTCTCGGAGCACAGATTGTTGTAATTATATAAAGTTTAGGACTGGAGTGGGCTGCAGGATGTGACAGGAAATCCAAGTGAAGAAAAGTCTTTTTGCACCTGCTTTCACAACCTCCGCTATACTCTACCCCTCCTCTCCTCCTCCTCCTCCTCCTCCTCCTCCTCCTCCTCCTCCTCTCCCATAGTCTTAAATGTTGAGCTGAAACCTGGTTGGACGTTCTTGTTGCCAAGACAACGCAGTAAACAAGAAAGGAATCAAAGTGTCTGGATCTGCTTCGTGGTGATCCTCGATGCAAAAATCTATAATCAAATGAATTAGACACTGTGGCGTGAGCACACCTGGTTTCAGGTGGCTTCTAGTAAAGGATTTGTGTGAAGAGAAGCTTAGATTCAGTTTTCTACTTTGCCCTCTGAATGGAAATTAAGTCAGGAAACAAGATTGTTCATCTCCTGATTTGGCTTTTCATTTCGACTTGCTCGCGAATATAAATTCATACTCTGCGCCTAGAAATAGAGGCAGTGGTGTCACATTGAATGCGGCGCGTTTGAATTCAGGAGTGGCACACGGTAGGATATGATAACATAGCATGGATCGGGTTCTCATGCGTCTCACACAAACATTTCCCTTCACCTGCTGCTCAGATGCGGGATAACGAGGCGCTGGCTAAAAAAGAAGTAAATCAGCGGGGTGACACACTGTTCTGGAGCTCCCTGGTGTGTCGGTGCATTTAATGACAGTATTCCCACTCTTACTGTACACAGTCTGTCATCACTGCCTACAGTACATAGACTTTCCATCTAATAGAGACTCCTTTTATGCCTGTTGGTGGCAGAGTGACAACTTACTTCAGATGCTCCGTGCTCCTCCTGAAGCCTATTTAATAAGCTGGATCCTCCTATATCATCCTAGCCCTCTGGCCTTTCTTTTTGATTGCCTGCTCCTCTGGCCTGGCCTTGGTGGCGTCTCCATGTGGGCGTGCCGAGGGCTCCAGTCACAGGGTACATCCATCACCTCCTCCCTCCTCTGGCCTGTGTGGAGGCATGGCTTGGATGTACTCTCGTGAGGGCTGGATTTTAGACCCCGGTCTGTGCCCTGCCTCCTCCATCTAATCTCCTCCTCACTGCACCCATCTGTCTCCCTGCCTTCACACACAGTAAAAGCATGCAAGGGACACACGCTTTCTCTCCATGTGCCAGTGTTTCTCTCTCCCTTTCTCCCTCTCTGGGTTTCTGCTCCCTAGTCTGCAGCATGTGTGGTGTGTTGCTATTAATAAGATGGCTGCCTTGTCTGCTATGTGGCAAGCAATCTAGCCGCACATCTGAGACTTTGGAAGCAGAATGGTCATTAAAAGCGCAGTCCCTCTCGGCAGCAGAGTGTTTTTGACCAGCTTATTAAATATAGCTCAACAGTTGTGTTCATCACAGATGGAAATCTCTGTCCCCATCTTCTTTTTCCCGGGCTTCAAACAGGAAACGGCTGAAGAAGTTCACAAGCAAGGACATTAGTCAGTTCCATGTATTATCTATCTGGCATCGCGCAGGCACTAATTGAACATGCAGATTTGGCTTTTTCCTTATCTCGTAATAATCATTATGATATAAAATGGAAGATAGTTTCTCTGCACTTGAAAAAAATACCAAGTAGCCAATGACTCAGAGGTGAAGCCTATATTTTGTATATATATTTATCTGTTTCTCTCTTGACAACCTACAGAAAGCCTGCTGTCTATCTATGCACATGTTTCGGCGTTTGCGTCCCGGCTGTGCACGCCTCTACTCACAGAGCTCTCATGAAGGGCTAGTTGTGGAGCTGCTGAAGGTCGTTCGGTTTCCTTTTTTTTTTCTTCTCTTCCTGTAAGCAATCAGGATAAAAGCTCCGCTTCTGAGGAAGTGCTCTCCTTTTAATGGAACGTCTTGGACATTAAAGACAGCTAGTGTGGAGGATCCTTCATGCCAATGTCAGCTTTCATTTTTATTAAGACTTCTGGGTTATTGAGGACCATAAATGTTCATGTTAAATGCTTGGCTTTTATTACAACATTGCAATGAGTACCAAGGCTTTTTAATGCAAAACCACCACCTAGCAAACAGCTGAAACCGCTTGAACCACGAGTGTTAAGAGGGCAGTGTGACAGGTACTCTGTTTTCAGCTAAGGGTAAGAAGTTTTTGAATCCATTTAGAGTGAAGGATAGCAAAGAAGCTGATTAATGGAGGAATGCAACGTGGGATGTGTAGGAATCGAGGATCAGAGAGATTGAAAAAAACAAAATGACGTGGAAGGATGTTTTTCTCAAATCAAATCTGAAATATTATCTTTATTAACGGCTGCTCTCCACAGTGAACTACTTGCTCTGGATTTTCGGACTAAAAATGTATGATTCATGCAGTCTTGGAAAGCATCTGACTTGGAAGTCACAGGAATTGATGTATTACTGTACAGCTTTCCTCTGCTGATTGGGTGAGAAACTAGCTTCTGTTAGAGTGACTTCAGCGTGATGTTGTGATTACAGGGAGGCACAAACTGCCGTGTCCTTTATGATCAAGTATGGTCAAGTACTCTTATGTGCAGTCAGTGAATCATCTGAAGGCCAAATGGCTGGCAAAGAAAAGCTTCAGATCTTCAGAAATGTAGACTTGCACGTATGAGAGGATTAGTTGGTTAAATAATAAAGCGGAGTTGATAAAGGATTATCCAATGGATACATTTAATTTGATGAGACTTATTTAAATATATACTGAACATTTATCTTGATTTTATTATTAACTTTGTGATATTTAACACCAATACATCAACATTTGTCTCTGAGTTTGAGCTGGTCTGACTTTTTTGTAGTGGTCAGCGATCATTTATAAGCTACACACACAAACATAATGTTTTCTAATATATGTCAAGAGCTGACATGTCTGGAGATGACACAATTAGTCGATTAGTCAGTAGGCTGAGAATTATCTAGAAACTACTTTGATAATCAATAAATCAAAAATGAACTGCTTCCAGAGCAACACATGTGAATATCT